AAGGATTCCAATTCAATGAGCGAGCTTTTTTTTTTTGCAGTTCATTAGGACATCGGGAATACTTACTCTTTGCTGGCTATCATCCATGTTGCTCCGGCAATCCTCTTCGGTGAGTTCAGTTTGAAGCGGGCATTTCAAGTGATATTCCTACAACAATGCGCTCACACGTCCACAAGTTTGCACGCTGCAAACAAGGCAAGTCAATGCATCTGCGAGCAGACAACACTGCGTCGGCGCACCAGTTTTCCACAGTGCTTTGCGGCCACCACAGGTGGCGCTCTTTTATTTCTGGAAAGGTCCATTCAGTCGCCTTCTTCCATGCTGCCGGCGCTGCTTCGACGAATCAAGGTCCCGAACCAAATTTCGACGTCAACCTGAGTCTTTCAAAGTGCAAGCAAGACCAGCTCAAATCCCTGCTCTTGGGATTCAAGGACTGCTTCTCGTCATCATCGAAAATTCGACAAACCCCAGTTATGAAACATCACAACATAACAGAAGAAAGTGCCCGACCAGTTGGACAAAGCCCATACCGAGTCTCGACAAGTGAGCGTGATGTCGTAAAGAAACAAGTTGACAAAATGCTACAAGACGACATCATTCATTCGTCCAAGAGCCCATGGGCGTCACCCATAGTATTAGTGAAGAAGGACAGGACCCTACATTTTTGCGTCGATTACTGCCGCGTGCACAAAAGCACAAAAAAGGACGAGTGCCCATAGACCGCGCCCTGGACCAACTCTCCTGCGCGAAATACTTTTCTTCGATGCACCTCAAAATGGGCTATTGGCAAATTGAGATTGATGAGAGAGATTGAGAGAAGACAGCCTTTATCACAACAGACGGCCTCTTTAGGTTTAAAGTCATGCTATTTGGTCTTTGCTCAGAGCCTGTGACGTTCCAGCGCGTTATGTACACCGGGCTGGCTGGATTAAAATGGCAGACTTGCCTCGTATACTTGAATGATGTCGTCGTGTTTTCCTCGAGCTTCCATGAACATTGCCGGTGCCTTGAAGCGGTACTTTGAGCTATCGACACCTCTGGACTAACCTTCAAGCCATAAAAGTGCCGCTTTGCGTACGAGGAGCTGTAGTTTCTGGGACACGTGATTAGCAACTCTAGAGGCCGTCCAGACCCGCGGAAAACAGCCGCCATTGCTGATTTCTCACAACCAACTGACATGAAGGTTGTACGCCAATTCCTCGAATTGTGCATTTACTACAGGCGTTTCGTCAAACGTTTTTTACATATCCTTGAGCCGCTAACTCGCCTAACGAAAAGTAACGTCGAATTAAAGTGGAAAGGGGCACAAGAGTAAGCATTTCAAAACTTAAACGACACCAATACTTGCGCATTTTGATGAACATGCCGAAAGAAAACTACACACCGACGCAAGCAGCGTAGGACACGGCGCCCGCCTTGTGCAGAGGACTGATGACGTGGAAAGCTGTCGTGGTTAGGTTCGTCACGTAGCAAGGCGTGTGACGCGAAGAAGATGGAGACAGTGAGGAAAACTAAAGGGAGTTATATTGGACGAACAAAAAAAACTATTGCACATTCAGTACTATAAGTCGTACACGCACGCAGTTCACACACAAAAGAAAAGAGTAAACAGTCTCACAGTCTGTGCCGTAGCTCGGTGCCTTGAAGTGGGACCCGTTGCGTGCTCAGATGCTGTCATCGCTTGGGGGCCAGGTCAGCATACCACCGTAGAGGGCATCACCAGGTCTAGGCGTAGCTGCACACTGTCAGCGACGTCGGCTCGGTGAACGTGTTCAGCAGCTCCGGTTTTTCGAGGGCGCTCGCCGTACCGGAGATGTCCGCAGGACCACTCACCCAGAACTCGCGCCTGGCCACGCCGACACGCCGTGCCCCGAGGAAGTCAATGGCTCGAGGACTGGAACCCGGCCTTTCGAACCTCGCGCGTAGTTGCGGGTTTGCCCTAGGCTCCTTTGCGTCGTCTTGCCGGCGTCCGAACAGCTTCGTTCTCTGCGAACGTCTCTTCTTTTTTCAATGGGCGCGCTGCAATGCCCCTTCATTCTTCTCATCTTGCAGGTGATGTGGCGCTGTTCGTCTGCTAGTGCTCAGCATTTTTTTAAGCTACTACATCACAAAAGGGTTATCAGTTATGCTAGCAGGTTGCTATCCAAGGCCAAAGCCAACTATTCTACAACAGAAAAGGGAGTGCCGTGCCATTATCTGGGCAGTGTGCAAAGTTGCACCTCTACCTCTACGGCAGACCTTTCACGTTGCTAGCGACCACCACGCCTTGTGTTGGCTAGCTAGCTGAAAGATCCTTTGCGTCGCCTCGCACGTTGGAGTCTCAGATTTTGAGAATTTGACGTGACTGTTCTTTACAAGTCTGGAAGAAAACACTCCAACGCCGACTGCTTGTCTGTGCCCCCGTCGAACCACCGGCGCCCGACGGCCTGGATGAGCACAGCTTCTTAGGAACAATAACTACTGACGACTTCGCCGCGCAACAGTGAGCTGACCCGGAACTCAGAAGCCTTGTAGAATACATCAAAGGTAACAGCCCGACTGTTCTGAATGTTTCCAAGAGAGGACTGGAGTCGTTATTTTTGCGAAACAGAGTTCTCTTAAAGAACTTCTCGCCTCTTCAAGCCGACCACCCCCTCGTGGTTCCTTCAGCAGTGAGACTAGAAGTACTTGAGGCCCTACACGATGACCTGACGGCAGGACACCTTGGCGTTTCTCACACGCTCGCGAGGATATAAGAAAGGTACTATAAGGTCAGGCCTTACCCCCAACGTCGCTCTTTACGTGAGGACATCCCGAGACTGTTAGCGACGCAAGACACCACCGAAAAAGGCCAGTAAGTTTTCCTTGCTCGATCAAACCACTTCGCCGACCGTTGCAACTAATCGGGATAGACCTACTGGGGCCATTTCCGACGTCGAATTTCGGAAACAAATGGATCGTCGTAGCTCCCGACTACCTTAACTGCTACTGCCAAGACAAGAGCCCTGCCCAAGGGTAGTGCATCTGAGGTAGCCAAATTCTTCGTCGAAAACATCGTCCTGCTCACAGTGCTCCGGAGGTCCTCATCACCGACAGAGGTACGGCGTTTACTGCTGAGATAACCCAAGCGATTTTGGCATATGGCCAGACAAGCCACCACCGTATGACAGTGCACCACCCATACACCAATGGCCTCGCTGAGCGCCTAAACAAGACCATCGCGGACATGCTGACCATGTACATTGACGTCGAACACAAAACATGGGATGCCATCCTTTCGTACGTGTCGTTCGCATATAACACTGCCGTACAAGAAACGACACAGATGATGCCGTACAAATTGGTCTACGCAAGGACCCTGGCAGCGACGCTTAACGCTATGTTACCCAACGTCACTGACGAAGAAAACCTCGATGTGAGCGAGTACCTTCAGCGCGCCAAAGAAGCCCGACAACTCACCCGCCTTCCGTATCAAGAACCAACAGACGATGGATTGCCCCCGTTACAATCTTCGGCAACGCTTCGTGAAATACCAGCCCGGAGAACGTGTTTGGGTATGGACGCTGATACGCCGACGTGGACTCAGTGAGAAATTTCTGCAACAATATTTTGGACCATACCGGGTAATTCAACATCTCGGCCCACTCGATTACAAGGTTGTCCCCGACGGCATTACGAACTGTCAACGACAATCGATCGCAACCTAAAGTCGATCATGTCGCGCGCCTCGAGCTGTTTCGTGCGCGTTAACGAACTGAAACAGTGTATTTTGTTGTTATTATTGCTCTATCATAATTTATTGCTTGTTCTTTCTTACATTATTTTTTTGTACTTTCACATTTGGCTAAAGCATCGGGACAATGCCTTTTTCAGTGGGGGCCAATGCCACGTTTCTTTTCTCATGTTTTGTTATCGCCCTGTTACACTATCTTCAGTGCAAACTGCGCCTAGGGTGTTAAAGAAGCTTCGAGGCAGCACTAGATCGTTTTGTTAAGGTTACGCCCACTTCGTGAACCTTTCGGATTATTCTGGAACCTAGGTCGCTGCTAGCGATAATGCTAGAATGTTCGATGGCAAGTGTATAAATGCCGACACGCTTTGCCGCTTGTCAGTTGATCGACGGCCGATGCTCTGTTCGCCGCTATCAGTGCCAGTGTCTTACTTTCCTTTTGCGTGGCCACAAGCTCGGCCCAAATAAACAGTTTCTTCTTCGACGTGGAGTCTGCTCCCTTCGTTCACGTCACGACCCCAAGACAATCTTTATATATATATATATATATATATATATATATATATATATATATATATATATATATATATATATATATATAAGGGAACTAAGTGTACGTTTAAGGGCTCGTTTTTCTGTGTTTTGACTCAATATTAATGAGATCTAACAGACAATAATGCCAAGAAATTCATAGAGGAAGTTATTAGACCAATTTTATTGTAAATGCGAAGAAAGAAAATTGGGTGAAAAGATAACTTGCTGTGAGCAGGAACCGAACCTGCGACCTCCGAATAACGCGTTATCTTTGGAAATTCAGGCCATCTGGTGTTTGGTAACGCCCACAGTACAGGGACATTTTTACAGCTGCACAGTTCTTGCCTGTCTGCTCTAATGACCACTACAAATTGCAAGGGTAGAGCATGTTTGTATTTCAATTTTGTTTCTTGTTTTGTTTTCTTTTTTTTCCCTCTTTGAAAGACCGTGAGAATGACGTCTTGGTGAAAGCTCGGCGCAAAACATGCAATTTCTGCCAAAATGCAGCAGGATGTAGCAGGTCTCACCTCTTTGCTCATCCTCGCACAATTGGTACAGTCATCACATCACTCGTTACAATGACAGCATGCCCTAAAAAGTGTTATTGCATAATAAAAAAATGTGCAAACAATTAATCCAGGGAGCATCAGATGGCAGCAAAGTATTTCACAATGAGCAAAATAATGAATAATTTAAGTGTATCTCGCTGATCCTCGAACTAAGTTTCTAAAAGAATCATACAGGAAAGCAAGAAATAAGGAATCTGGGGTATAAAAAACAATATTACCAGTAAAATTTATTATTTTGAGAAAATATACATTTGAATATATTTAACATTTTACATTATGAACCATAATTCTTGACAGAAACTTCAGCTGGAAACTCTACAAAGACTCACGATAATGCTTTGCGAGAATCAATAACAGGGAGCAGGCAAAGCAAAATAAACAGCAAATAAAACTGAATAGAGCACAGGCAACAGAGTATTACCGGTTCATGTTAATAAAAAAACTTCAGTAAACAGAGTTACAAATGTGATAACTTCTGAACACATTCATTCGGCATTAAATCATTGAAGTGCTACGTACAGACTCATGTACACAACTTTTATTGGCTGATTGTGTCGACCAGTAACTCAGACAGAGCAGGTAGATGCATAGACGCTGAAATGAAAGTGAACCTCGTGGGTAATAAATCTATTTTGATTGAACTTCATTTAGAAGCACACTGTTTCAGATTTCACTTTGCTGAAGGCACTACATTGCGGTGTGACGCATTCAATGTGCCACTTTCAGCAAGCCAAATAAAAAATGACCTTTTTTTTGCTCGAACTGAATATAGGTGAAAATGAACTTACAGCCCATTTCCAGCTTGAAATTTCCAGAAAACAAAATTTGAATCATTACTGCATAAATACCAATTAAAGTAAAATTTATTTAAAGACTAATTACAATGAAACTTACAAATGACATGTTTTGTAAATGTGATGCATTTACAGGCAGTTACCCCATATACTCAACTGTAATGCAACCCCAATTCTAATGCGAAGGTTGAATTTTGATTGTGTCCAAAAAGATAGTTCTTTTGGTATTCTAATATAATTCACCGGTCAACTTTAGGTAGCGAAAATATGGAAAGAAAACTCGCCTAACATTCAAGTAAGCACAGTACTTATAGGTCACACTTGAAGGGTTTAAAAATGCTACCTAGATATAAAAATATGCTTTAAAACTTAAACAAACCGCACAGCGAAAGAATTTACATTAATTGATTAAACTTTTTTGCCAACATAAAAGAAAATGCATTGCAAGAGATTGTATAATGTAATAAATCTTGAAGTTATGTCTCACTTTTAAAGAGTGCTTAACAGCGCAAACGACAAGAGGGAATAGAAGAGACGAGACAGAGCATTGACAGAGCACCTTCGTTTGCGCTGTTAAGCATTCTTTATCATGTTATACCAGCACGCCCAATCCTATTGTCTCACTTTCAAAATAGCACCAAAAAGATGCAACTCAAAACAACTCTAAAATATCCTAAATATGGCAAAGATAAGATAAATTACAGTAAAGATTTCATTCTTTATCATGACCATCATCTTCAAAAATTAATTTTATGCGTGACATAATCAACACAGAAATGTAAAATGAGATTATTACATTTGAAACTAATGCAATTAAAGTTATAGTAGCACCTAAATTACAAGTGCAATAAATATGCTGTGCTGCGAGTAGAATGCATACAATGTAGCACAGAAAACATGCCCAGAAACACAACTTTTTTACAGTAAGAACAGCTTTGATTTCATATCTTTTTCAGAAAGTAACCTGTAAAAATGTGTGCCCAGCAACAACTTAGCTACATTGTCATCTAGCCTCTGGCCATTGCTTGAAATAAAATTATGTATATATTCATTATTTCATCAGTGATTTGACACTGCATTCAAATGTACAAAGTGATAACTTGAGCCAGATTATTGGTTCATCTAGGTGGTGACGCATTGCAGGATGCTCAATGGTGAATAGAAATTCGTGAAATGATGTGATGATGATAATGATGATGGTTATAATGCCACTATTTTAGTATGAATACCTTGTCTCAAATGGGCTATCACGGGTGTTTCAGGTAATTAAACTTTCAGGTAGTCTTAGATCATTCAACATTCCAACACAGGCAAATCAGCCGACCTCAGCTTTAAAAGTGGCCACGACAAAGAGGTGGTTGAGAGCTGGCATTGAAGCAAGTAGCAGTGGCAGCGATGGTGTAGACAAGAACATCAAGTACGTCGCCTGCATGCATTAATGAACAGCTTTCTGTAAAAAAATATTGCATGGACTCTTTTTTTTTGCAGTACGCAATAAAGATATAATATGTCTATGGATTGCGAGGATTGCTTCACCAATGAATGCTTCACGTCACGGTATACACAGCCAACACAGACATTGGGGAGCAAAATTAAATAAATTAGTCACACAATTTGAAGAACAGCATTGGCCATGTGCTGCCTGACAGTAATTGCAGCAACGTCAGTATTCTAGAGGCCACAAGCAGCAATAATTTGAACAAGCCAGTCTGATCTGCCATTGGTCGTGGACCTCACTCCAGTTCATCGAGGTGAGCCCAGTTGGGCCCAGCACGAAGCCGCACCACAAGAGGAACGGAAAGCTCGGCCGCCTCCTCCATGGACTTGCGCACCATGCCGGACACAGTGCTGAGATCGGCTTCACACACCTCGAGCAGAAGCTCGTCGTGCATTTGAAGGACCAAGAAAGCACCTGCACGGCAATCAGAAAAGTTGGTCATTTTCTGGACAGGTAGCTCAAACTGATTCAGTAAAAGTTCCATTAAGCAATGACACTCGACTTCGATATAATGAACCTGGATATAACAAGTTATTAGCCATAACAAAGTAAATGAATCGTTTTGTTGTGGATAGTACAGTGCTAACAATGTACATGTATAACAAATTTTCTGATATAACAATAAAGTATTTTGATGGCAGATCTAACTTTGCTATAACAAGGTTTGAGTGTAGAATTATTATTGCCCATAATTCACTAGCATAATGAGAAACACCACATGAGACCTTTGACGAAATAATCAGTAAATAAATGCTAATGTGGCCAAGGCACCACTTAGACCACTGGAAAAATGTAAAAATTTACAGCTTTGGAACATAATAGCTAATTATGATCCTTGCCATGGTGCCCAACAAATCACCCTGCTTTATTTCCTGGCAGTCACAAACGCTGTCTACTAGTTTGCACAGATTGGTTAGACCTGTGGTTCTGATGTGGGGATTTGCAAAGACATCTTGAGTGCTATGTGAAACCCATGCCCTAAAGAAAAAAAAAAATAACAGGTTTTTCGAAGGCAGTCTATGCACCGTGACCACTACCCCTTGTGACTTTTTTTTTTTTTTTCATGCGTCAGTGCATAACACTTTTTCCTTGCTGTGAAGCTGACTTAGGTTACTTGTTCTGAATGAAAAAGCTGCAGAAAAATTTTGTTGCAGTTTTTTATGATGTGAGCATACTTTATTTAGATTTGCATATTTGAAGAGCAAGCTAGAAACAGGCTTAAAGGCACTGCAAACCACATAACTTATTCACAAAAAGTTGAAATTGAATTGGCGTGGCTTTAAAGTTTCACCGGTCTCTGCCAGATACGACACACCTATTTCACATTGCATGTTCAGTTAAATTATGGGGTACTTCCCCATTTCCCCGACTGCAATGGGTGTCCCATAACTTCCATTGGCCCACAAGAAGCCCCCAAGAACGTCCATGGCTGAGAACTACTGGGCTAGAATATGTCATCTTGCTATATGTGCTACATCTCGGAAGCAATATCTGCAACAACACCAACTAGGACATACGCATTGGACATAGACATCTACTGGTGCCACAGATAAATAAGGACTCCGCTACTGTGAACAGACACCAAGAGTTGCAGGAGCCCTAATGCACCTCTTTACTCTTCTAGTGCCAAGCATATGGCATGGCTGTTGTGCACCCCAGCCCTGTCAATGAGAAATTTCGATGCCAGATGAAATATGCAACATCAAGTGTGTAGTTGGTGTTGCATATTAACTGCTGCTATCACATAAGACTTAGATTGGTCAAGCTGAACGTCTCACATTGAAGGGGTCATGAGCCACCCAACAGGCTGGAAGAGAGAATGCATTCTTCCGTTAACAGACACTGCTATGAGCAGCTCAGCCAAATCTTGAAGTCGACCGCAGCAAAATGTTTAGAAGCACAAAGATATTATTACAGGTGCCCTCGTTTCACTCGGATGGCTGTGCTCACTTTGTTTGGAGCTGCTGGCACCTGCTACCTGATGCCTAATAACTAATAACATGCTATTGGCTAATAGCGAACATAGATCAATGGTGGCATTTGCACAAGATGCGCTTTTTGCTACCGGGTGCTGTGACAAGTCGGCACAGCACTCCAACGTTACACAATGAGCCACATCAGCACAGAGGATTCACAATAGGAAAGCACAACCACATTCATAACTTACACTCAAGGTCATGATGCATGCTCACAGCCCCGTTCCCCGTAGTTATATTCCCCAGCTGAGCTTGCAGTGGCGCATTTATCACTGTGTCTACCTTGCGGACTGTCCACTTTGGCCTTCACTGACTGGCCGGAACTCGATCAGCATTGTGCCCCTTCTTTCCATTTCATCTTCCGCAATGCCATTTTAATGTCACGAAGCTTTCACAAATCTTGACACAAATGAGAGATGCAAAATGTGTTTCAAAGCAATGAACTCCGTTTTTCCCAGAGAGCTTCTTTCAGACACACATCTCAGAGGTTGTACATGAAATCTAATCATGCCAGCCCTTCAATTAAGTTTAACACAGCTGCCCACCTAACATACCTGGAAGGTTGGTACGCGTTCTCTGCATTGTTCTCGAACACCTGAACTCGTTCATACGCGTGTTCATACTTGTCAAGTTTAATTAATGTTGAATTCCAATTGCAGAGTCAGAGCAAGTTTTTATGTTCCTGTTGGGGCAGGTGTGTTTCGATGGCAGAGTGAGAGCGGGAGTCAAGTGTTCCAATGAGGGAGACGAAGTAGATTGAGGGCACAAGTGGCTCGGAGGGGCATAAAAAGTTGCTCAACTGAAATCGGCGGAGTGAACCGGAACTCGCTGTGCCGTGTTCTCGTGATGTTGATGTCACCGGGTGTTTGACTACTATGTGAATTAACCCTAATACGTTTGCCCAGTCGCGTGTTTTGGACGACATGACCGAATGGATACCGACATGACCGACATGACATGACCGAATAGTGGACGACATGACCGACTGGATAAGTCAATTCATTGCAGAGTGACAGCAAACAACTGTGTACGAAGAATTCGAAAGTGGAATTAGCGGAATGAAATATACTACATGCAAGGTATTCTGGGCAACTCAAAGACTTCTGCTTCTACCTTGCTCCCCATTCATGCCCCGGTAGTGCTGACTGTGTTCCAGTGACAGATTCGGAGGCGTTCCTCTATGCCAGAGTCGATTGCTCGCTTGCACAGTCCATCGGCTGCTCCAACTTTGCCATTGAAATTCAAGATAGGTGTCCTGTTATTGTACATTTCGTCTACCAGCTTTATCTTTGTGCTGGGAATGTCCTGGCGGGTTCGGTGCATCGACGCAGTCAGTAGCGGCTTGGCATTCTAGCTCGGCGCTTTTTTGACAAACTGAATGCGCTTTGCCGAAGTGGACATGTCCACAAGGTGGACACAATGAGAATAGCTCCCCAGTATGGTCATCATGCCAATGGAAGAGAGGACGTGCTTGAAGCACTCAACAAATACTAGCAACTCCGCTCATTGTAGTTGAATTTGAGAACTTTTTGTGGTAATCAATTCGTGGGGCAATTAATACTGGGATCACTCGTTGATTACACAAAAAAGTGGTTCATGATCCCTTCACCCGTAGGCATGCTGCGCCGTAATGTGCATAACACTTGATGATGCACAAGCACAATTTATCGTATAAGCATGCGTGATAATGAGATGAGCTTCCACAGCAAGGATAGTGATACGTTTATACGTCCACCCACAGATGTCAATTTTTTCAATGTCAATATCAAAACAGCATTCATACAAAAAAAAGTGAGTCATCTCGTATGTTGCACGAGTACAAAAATAAGAAATTACTGAGCAACAATTTTAATGGTCGATAATTTAAACAGTTATTTGAAAAAACATCGTCTGCACATCCACTTCCAAAAGCTCACGCTTTTGCAAGACAACAAAAATAAGTTAACTCAGTGTAAAAACTTCATAATATGGTAACCAGTTCTTAAACACAGTTTTTTTGCAGCACATCAAAACTAACGATTCCAAGACTACTTGGAGCTCCGACTGCACCTTACACCAGAACAAGTCTAAATGTTGTCAAAGATTTACGAATAATAAAATTTTATTTCAAATTGAATTTGAATTGTCTAGTGACATATAGTGACCAAAAGTAGGTCTGTGTGCACAAGAAAACATTCAACGTCATGGAGTCGCACCTAAAGTGAATGTTTTAGTAGGTGGAGCCAAAAATAGGCCGAATGGCCATATTTTTGTTCTGTCATCACACCTTTCGTAAACACATTTGCACTACCAGCTACAAAACGTACCATGCAAAGGTGGCTCCTCTGGTAGCAGACCCTTTGAGTCGGGAAAGCGTTGTGCGAGGGCATCATCAAGTGAGATGAGTGCTCTTCGGAGCAGGTCTGCGGCTGAGCCCTGCACAGCCGTGCTCAGCACTTGACGCTCGGCCTTGGCCCTATCCCTGTTGCTGCCACTGTGCAAGTCTGCCAGGGGGCGCCTCCTACCCAGCAACGTGCACACCTCGTTTGTGACACGGGCGCGCTCCAAAAGTCTGTCGGCATATCGCTGCAAGCCTGTAGTCAGTCGGAACATTTATCACTTCACGTATATTCGCCCAGGAGATACAACAGCTGTGCTGAAATTGAACTTTCTCAACCAAACCCTACAACAATTTTTTTTGAGCATGGTCAGAAAACGCTGTCAATCCATAGTACGGTTTCCCGGGAACAGTATAGCGCAACATGCAGCCTAAAATTTACAATTAAGTTTCCAAGAGAGCTGGAAATCACTCACTCTTCTCTTGAAAAATGGTGTCACATAAATACAAATGACCATGCCATAAACACAAACTTCATGGCCTTCAGGTGATTTAAACACCATTAGCTGCATATTAACAGTGAAGGGATGCCAATATGCCCATGCTGCACTCTATAGAGCTAGAATCACAAACAGTATAGAATCACAGCAGCATGCTTGTAATCACGCTGAAAGTAAGCTGCTCATTCAGAGAATATATGTAAAAAAAGTTCTCCAGGTCATGATGGCCACTGTCAAACTATTGTAGCTCCTTGCTCCTTTGTCCTCCCAACCTGCGTAGCTTCCAGAGCACTTGAGCACTTGCCAGTACGAGATGAGAGAGAAGGCCCTTAAGGAAACAAATCTCTGCGATTCTCTGCGATGATGAGTAAGTATTTATAGCTCAAATATTGATACTAAGTGCAATATTTCAATAGAAAAAAATGCAAACATAACACATTCTTGGTAAATTTTTACAGGTTAATGTGGCAGATATATTGCATTAATAGTATTGAGCTTAAAACACCTTACACAAGCTTCTTTACTTGACATGTCAACCAAATTTGGTATAGAAAAAAAGAACAATACTTTTAACATAATCTTTTTCACAAAAAACACTCAGATGACATTTTGGGAAGTTCAGAAGTCACTCACAAGAACCAAAACTTTTTTCTCTCTCTGAAATATTCTAGCAATTCACTGTTTTCAACGCACCAAACCAGCACAAATTTTTTTAAAACATTTGACATATACGCAAAAATTGCTGGGACGTTTGGCATGGAATGACCCATTGGTAGACCCAAAGAAGCATTGGCACTCCAGAGGTCAAGCTGCCCCACTTCGAAGTTTTTACATTGTGCATGTGTTTGCATTAACCTAGTGCAAATATTATAATGCTTCGGATATTCGAATGAATGATAGAGCATTCAAATTCGCTTCAATTCTAGTTTAAATTAATGAACATTTAAAATTATTCGCAATGAACAAATGAGTGTGTAAAAATCTGCATGTAACCACCTGTAAAGATGGTTTCACTGCAGTGTAGTTATGCCAAGCCGTAAAAACATCTGTCTACAAAAAAATTCGCTTTGTCACAAACAGAGTTTAATACCATAATACCTAGAAGGGAATCTGGTGCTAGTGTATACGCAGGCTTCTTCAGCAGTGCTTGCACCCCCATGGGAATTACGCGAAGTACAGCCTTCGAATCTGCTTCGGATGGATCGCGTTCTTGAAATTCGTGATGCTTGTTTGCCAAGTGTAAAACAAAACGATATGAAGTAATATTCAAATTAAACTAGCTTCATTCTTTGTGTGTAAATTTTATTGCAAAAATACTTTGTGGATATGCGGTAGAAGTGAAACCAGGACAAATATAACCATCAGTGTATGCATTGCTCTGTCACTGCATTCAAGATTGGGCATAAAAATATATTGAATTATTTTCTAACATTTGAAAACAAACATTCTTGTCTTGCCCGTGAATATTATCACGGGCAATATTATCTATTTTTGAAAATAAGAGCACAGTATTAAGTGAGAAACACCTAACGTTTCCTCTGCTGCGATGACAGGTGCGTCTGTCTAAGTGGGCTGCTGCCAACGCACCTCTCGTTTTGTTGTGAAGTCGAGTCAGAGGAACGTGACGGTACGTCTACTTAGCTTCGCTGTCATTATGCAGTCAATTTGAATGAGTTTTGGCAAGACCCGCTCCCGAAAACACATGAACTCAATGTAATTATCTGAACTGGCATGAGATGCTACATTTTTGTGCAGCAGTGAATGGACGTCGCTTCGCTTAAACTGTCAAATACGACTCATAAATCTCTGAAGCTGCTGCAAATCTCAGACCTAGTGGCCTTCAGCCTCTTTGAACAACAAAGGCGCTGCTTCGATGCTTTGCACCACATTCCACTACCCACGCTGCGGAAGAACGAAACAAACAGTACAAAAAGATGTGTAGAAAGTTCGCTGGCTAGCGCAAACCAATCCGAAGCCTGTACTCCCCATGATTCTCATCGGGGTACACGATTGTAGCACCACATTCTGTTCTAGGTATTATTGTATGAAACTCTACAGCCGCAAAGCCTCCTTAAAATTTAAAGGGGCCCTGAAATCCTTACTGAACATGGTCAGGAAACGCTGCCAATCGGTAGTCGAGGCTACTGAGAACACGCGAGGCAAATATTATACTACAGCACGGGGCCTACAATTCACAATAAATTCTCGAAGTCAGCTAAAAATTGCTCTCTTTTCTTGGCAAATGACACTACAAGCTCAAAAACCACTTGTCTGAGCCATTGGCAGGTTTGAGCAAGGCGTGCTCATTGATTACTGGGACAGCCACGTGAGGCCGCCACTTGTCTACACCATTGAAGTTGAGGTTTTGAAGATCCGCCCAAGTCTTGTCGCTGTCAGGCAGGCTGTTCCAAACCTCACCTTCATGACGGCCTGCTGTTGGAGGAAACCGGACTGAAAAGCCGATGAAGAGTGCGCGAGGTTTATTTACATATTTACAGAAAGAGAAATAAAAATAGGAATTGACTCTCCAGCCATTCCCCTGCCGCTTTTTGTCCTCTCGCACTTCCTAGATGCCAGACCTAGGGAAACGGCGAAAAAGGTTTGCATTCAATCAGGTGACCATTGTTGAGGGTAATTTTGCCGGCACCACCCCCCAATATACGCACACACACAACACAAAACATGCATTGTTCCGGCCACGCTGTCGCATCCGAGGATCGTGCTGCCAGAAAATGGGATGTAACGAGTCCGTCGTGCCGCTGCTCGGACCGACCATCCACACTGTCGAACAGTGGTCGCAGACCAGGCAACTCCAATGGCATCTAGCATTCATTTGAGCATAAGTGACCTATCAGCCAGAGACGCACAGCATGTTGGTCTGAGGTCAGTCTTCGGCGGAAACTCAGCGTCGCGGCCTCGGTGTCCAAAGGAACCACGTGTCCCATTTCCGCAACGGCACAAGCGACAGCAGTGGTGCGTGGAGTAATTACTACCACGTACCTCCCAATACACGAAAAACAGCCGAGCGTCTTCCCCTTCCTCTTTATCACCACTAAGCGAGGCGGCTGCCTTTCTTCTGTCTCGGCGCCCGCGGCGCAGGGCGGCTCGCTGATCACAACAGCTCCTCCGGGGCCAAGAAACTCTCGAATGGGCAGGAATTCAATTGCTGGTCATGAAGAGGGGGTCTTGGAGTCGATAATGACTGCAGATATGCAGCTCGAAGAATCTCACACAAACAAAGACAAACAGCAGAAAGAACCATCTAGGCACCACAACACTACACCACGCACAAGCGTTCAGAATCTGTGTTTATTCCACCAGGCCTATCAAAACAATCCAAAACTATGAACATTCTTGAATTCTGACACCTCAGAGGCACATCAAGCAATACAAGTGACGATGTTCCCTCTTCAGTTTTACACAAGACAGAAATCGCATTAACAGGTAATCAGTTGACCCCACTTGGGAACTATTCAGTCAATAGTTACAAGATATCTAACAAGCAAAAGGTTAAGTGCATGCTCCAACTTCACAATTCAGACTACTACAATGTTCATCAGCATTCCTATTACATTTTCCTTTCTTGGGCCCGATGAAAAATTTGTACCTCTGGAGGACAAAACTCTCTTGGAGCGAGCGTCCACTTTTTTCAGATGACCATTACACTCAGACTCTGTTGGAGTTCGGCAACAACTACAGACTCAAAAGAAAGCGATATTTCCAAGTAACGTTCTTTTTATGTAACTCCACTTCTCTGAACTTATGCTTGTCGTGATTCCCAGTTATGAGATCACACACAAACATTGATACTAAAGCAAAGATGATTAACCTGCCTGCACACAACCCACCTTGTTAATTGTATAACCTACCAGTCTTTATAAGACACGCAGAATGCTCTTCTGAGTGCCGCAACTCTTCAACTACTCAAGCCCACAAAAGACACATGCGATTAAAATACTAAACAAACAAAAAAACTTTCGCATGGGCCCTGAAAACTCCCAAGCAAGATCCTTGCTTCTAGACGCTTTCTCAAAACCAAATAGCATCGTCCGTCTAACCTACTCGTAGGACGTACTCTGACGCACACTCTGATGCATGTTGTTTTGCAAAATGCACAACGCTTATCTTTAAAGAAAAATCATACATTGCTTAAGAAATAAAACCTAAAAAAGGCTTACCCAAACCATATCTCGTAATCGAGATACCAAAATAAAACATTATAAAACGAAAATAATCAAAAGTTCAAACCAGAACAAACAAGTCCAGTAGCAACCATACTTCGGAAGCTTTCGGCTGTGACTGATTTTGCTGCACCAATTGGTTTTATTCTGAAACCTTCCTTGAAATGCTCTATCACATCAAGTCGCACGCATCAGTGATAAGACAATCCCTCTCAAGTTAAACACTTGCTGAACACTTAAAATAGCAGAAAAACACACAGGGTTTGCGCTGCGAAACTAATCCTTGATGATCAGTGCGACTACAACTGCTCTCATATGACTTCAGTGCTATGCGGCTTCTTTTCTTAAAACACCACTCTGCATTAAAAAGACAAGCTTACTGCAGTCGAGCTCTACCTAATCATGCAAAACTTCCTTTACGCAGGCGTGCAAAGCAAACTGCCAGACCCTGCCCCGTTTCTAAATGTGCGAATTCTTATGAATTGCACCTGGTAGGTCTCAGTCATGGCGACTTTCGAGTTCACCTGCAGCTACAGAAGACACTCACACGTGCTTCGCTTTCAGCTGCCACGCTT